CAGAGAAATTTGCATCACTGCATGTTGGGTCATCTGGACAACGAGAAACGCGGTTATCTTTGATAATGGACAAATCAATATCACTGATCGGAAGAGATGTTTCAAGGAAGAACTTGGCCAAGTGTGCACTAAGGCCAAGCCCCGAAGGCAAAACCCACTCAAGACCTGGAGAGATAGCTACTCAATTTTATTGTACTTTTCTCTTTGGGCTTGTAAGCCTTGTAACTTTTTGTTTTCCTTTTCCCCTTCTGTACATGCTGTAATTATCATTCTTTTATTTAAAGAAAAAAAGAAAAAAATAGGTAGGGGATTTCCCTGCTGATTCGGTCAAAAACTCCACTGAGAGCAATTTGTTTCATCTCTAAACCTTTTTCTCTCGACGTCATGAAACTACTAAATGATTTTGGCTATCCTATGAATCTGTGAAATAAAATGGTACATTGGAAGAGGTCGTTTCATTTATCAACCTAAACATCTAAAAATGATGTGGCATTCTTGAAAAATCACGTAATGAAACTTTCCATTAAGACTATCCGAAGAGGTTTTACAAGTATTTTATACACATCAATGTATATATATATTTTTTATCAAATACGCATACGATTAGTGTATCATTGTATTAAGGTAGAAAGCATTGTTTTTATGACACATTGCTGCAGCGAACGCACCCATAGATCGACCCATATACCCAATGGCGGAGCCAAGGGGGGCCGGCAGGGGCCATGCCCCCCTAGCATATGGCAACATTTTTTTACTAGTATATCTTATAGTTTTTATTAATATTTAATGAAAATTGTTATATATAGCTATTAATATCTTCTACTCCCTTTGTCTAATAAAAAGTGTCATTATCAATTTCTAAGAAGTCAAACATTTTCAATTTTGATTAAACATATATAAGAAAATATTGATATTTATAGCATATAATTAGTATCATTAGATACATCGTTCAATATATTTTTCATAATAAACTTATTTAGAGATATAGATATTATTAATATTTTCTAGAAGCCTAGTCAAACTTAAGACCAATGCAAATTTCATAGCAACACTTTTTATGGACGGAGGGAGTAGATAATATAATTATTCAAAACACAACTAGATAATAAAATCATCCCTACAAACATCTTCGAAAGATTAAACCGGTAGATCTCGAGATTTATGAAATCACCGTAGAGCCTTACTTAAATGGGCATGTCGCATACCATTGAAAGAAAGGACCTTAGACTTTACAATACATATAAAAAAATATGAGCAATCGTGTCAAGTCGATAAATTAACCTAAACGATCGCCACGAAAAATCTAATCACTCGAGCCATGCTTCAGTTTTCACAAGTTGTTTTTTGCACGCAGTAAATATACATGTAAATTTATAATTTTCTATACAAATTTAAGTGCAATTTAAGGCTTCAACATAATTGCACAACTTGACATAAACAATAAACGATTACATATAATCGTACATATAGTCATATGGACGTGATTTAGGTGGCACCAAAAATTTCCCTACTAAAAGATACTTGTTTGGTTTTGGTAATTGAGTGACAATCTTAGGTGGACCAATATGTGATTGAGTGAGACACACAGGTGATTAGTCCACATGTATTTGTGTGAGCAACTCATGCCATGAAGTGAAGTGGCTCGGAGATGTTGCAAAGGCTCACACTTGTGATGAAGGAGCTCATTGCATATGAAACATGACATGAAGTCATGTGATCAAAGTGGAGAAGATCAAGATAAAACTTGGCTCGACGGACCGGTTGTAAGTGCGAAGGGCAAGTTGAGTGATGACTTGGCGCCGATGGACCGAGGCAACGGTGAAAAGCAAGTGAAGTCAAGATCGATGAACCAATACGGTCACGTGATGATATGAAGTGATCATATCATTTGGTGATTGATTGGTGCATGTATTGCATCGACATCGAAGGAGATGAAGTGGAATGCGCAAGGCAAATGTATAACCTAGGATATTTTATTTCACCGGTCAAAGGTTGTGTAGAGAAGTGCATAACCGGGTTTAGGATAGATGGCCGTACTATTAAGAGGATCAAACTTGTTTGCATATTGGTCATCTAGTGCTACTTGAGCGATCTAACCTTGCATACGTGTTAGGATCGAGTGGCATGGTGAATTGAGTGACTAATACTTTGGGAAATGTTTGTGAAAAGCAAACACACGTGGTGAACGCTTGGTGGTGTTAGTACATTTGCAAAGGTGTTGAAAAAAATGAAGAAGAGGAGGCAAAACGGGGCTCGGGGTGCTGCCTGAGTGGCACCACCACCCCCTGTCCGGTGCACCTCCACCCCTATAGCGGTGACCGGCTAGGAGGCCGAGAGCAGCGTGTTGCCCTAAGGGCACCGCCACTGGTTGTCCGGTGGCACCGCCACTTCTAGGGCGATGCCCACCTGGACTTGGCCGAGCGCAGCAATAGTCGGGGTGGTCACCGGAGTGACGGTGTACACCGTCATTGTGAGGGCGGTGCACCGCCGGGTACTGTCTGGTGCTACCGCCGCTTTTCGGCCGAGAGCGAGGGAAGTGGGCATGGTCACCGCCTGGGCACCGCCATGCCTAGAGCAGTGCACCGCCCTATTTTTTCAGAGATGTGGTGTTTCAGGTGGTTGGCTTGGGTGGTCACCACCACCCCTAGGGCAGTTCCACCGCCACCCCTGTCTGGGAATTCGACCGTTGGAAGGGGAACCGTCGTGTTCGGTGCCCTCGCAGAAACCAGCAGCTTTGCTTCAACGGCTCTATTTGGCTTTAGGGCTATAAATAGATGTGGATCTCGGGCTTGGGCTGGTTGCTGAGCACCCTTAAGCCTTGGTGGCTTGTGTAGGTGTGTTTGGGAGCCCTCTAACTCACTTGTGCTTGATAGTGATTATCCGATCGAGCGATTCTAGTGCGATTGCATCATGATGTTGCATCGAGTGACACTAGGTGATCGAGATGCAAGCCGGTAGTGCTTGTTACTCTTGGAGGTTGCCACCTCCTAAATGGCCTGGTGGTGGTCTCCGTCGAAGCATGCAAAGAGATTGTGAGGGGAACTGTGCTCACCCCACGGGAGCCACGAAGAGCAACTCTAGGAGAGCGAGATGTGAAGGGCGACAAGTGGTCCGACCGGGTCAAGTGCTAGAGCTTGTGGTAAGCACTCCACGTGGGAGAGTGTGACTTACGGGTCACCACTAGCAAGAGGACCGGTGGCAACCTTAGAGCTTGTCTCAACGGGGACTAGCGTGTTGGCAAGCATGTGAACCTCGAGATAAAATCACCGTGTCATCCTTGTCTTCCTGTTGGTTTGCAATTCCGTTACACAAGCTTGTAATTACTTTCACATTCATTGTGCTTGTGTAGTTGCCCTTGTAATTAGTTAGCTTGTGTAGCTTGCTAATTATCTTCTTGCTCGTGTAGCATAGAAGTAGCTCCCTTGCGTGAGTAATTCGGTTTAAGTGACATTGTTAGTCACATTGCTTAGTTTGTGTAGCTAACTGTTTTGCGCTCTATAATTTGGCTTGTGTAGTCTTATTATTGAGCATTGCTAGTGAGCTTAGGTGGATTTATGCTTTTGCTTACTAGCATGTGTAGGAGCTCTCCGGTTGCTTGAGTACTAGTGGTATAGGTTTATATGATCTTACTCCTAGAATTAGTTAGGTGAGTTCTAGCTAGCCCGACACATTTATTGTCTAATTAGAATCTTTATAAGATGCTTGTGAATTTAGATAGAGGGTTGTAGTTTTGGCTAGACCGTTAGTTTTAATTCCGTATTTATCTCGGTTAGTCGACGTATTTATTTTTAGAAAAGACTATTCACCTCCTCTAGTCCGTCATCTCGACCCTACACCTACCACACATGCAACCCCAATTCCACCAACCCAAAAAATTCGTTTAACACCCTAACTTTCATAGTTTATCGCCTGAACCGTTTAAACGCATGGTTTGGCCATTACACGTGTTTAATCACTGTTTATTGCCATATTTAAACCTTTTTGACGGGTTTGACCGTTTAAACATTTAGCGTTTAATTCAGTGATTAGGGCCTAAACGGAACGAGAACCCACTGTTTAGCGGTTAAACGCGTGTAGACAGCCGTTTAAACATGTTTAGGCGAACAATGCTGAAATTTAGCTTATGCCGATGCTTATGCTAAAATGCTATAAGAGAAAAATACTATTCGTTCGAAGTACTGCTGAAGTAGTGATGTAGAACAAAGGCCAAATATTTTTCTAAACTACAAGTTTGTTTTGAAGGGAGAGAGTAGCATACATAGTAAACGAAGGTCTTGTTTAGTTCCTCCTCTAAAGTTTACTCTCTATCTCATCGAATATTTGGACACGTACATGAAGTATTAAATATAGACTTAAAAATAACTAATTGTACAGTTTGTGGCTAATTTACGAGACGAATATTTTAAACCTAATTAGTCCATGATTTGACAATGTGGTGCTACAGTACACGTGTGCTAATGATAGATTAATTAGACTTAATAAATTCGTCTTGTGAATTCTATAATTTATTTTTTATTAGGATCCGAACACCGATACGATACAAACATGTGACATCAATATGACACGTAAGACTTTAGGTCCTGGATTTAAACCAGGCCTGAATAGGCATATGAGTCTGTTAAAGTATTCCACGTTCTGCAACCCATTTCGCCACGTGCATTGGTGCCGCCCGGGAGGTCCCCGGTGACCGTGAAAGCGCCCGGGATCACGAATCCATAACGCGCAACCAGCCCACCACCGGCCGGCCGCACTTCGCTACCGGATCACCGCCGGAAATGGCACACGTTTCTCACCCTGACGCGCTCAGCCGACGGATAACTTCCTTCTTCCCCCCTCCTCCCAGCCCAACCCTTTTAAAACGCACCCAAGGCTCAGTACTGAGCACTGACACGCTCGCCTTATTATAACCACATCGGCTGGCGCCACTCTACACGGCACTCGCTGTCTGTAGTTGTAGCACCGCACCAGTCTTCGGCGCCGGTCCGCGAGCAGATCAAGAAATGGCCACGGCAACTTACCTCTCCTCCATCTCGGCGCCGCCGCCGTCGCGCGCCCGCCTGCGGCGGCAGACGACCAGGGCGACCGCGTCGGCGACGGACCGTCCGCGCGAGGTGGTGTCCCCGAAGCGCCGGCTCCCGCTGCGGAAGGTGCCGGGCGACTACGGCCCGCCGGTGCTGGGCGCGATCCGCGACCGGTTCGAGTACTTCTACGGGCCCGGCGGCCGCGACGGGTTCTTCACCTCCCGCGTGCGCGCGCACGGCTCCACCGTGGTGCGGCTCAACATGCCGCCGGGCCCCTTCGTGGCGCGCGACCCGCGCGTGGTGGCGCTCCTCGACGCCGCCTCCTTCCCGGTGCTCTTCGACACCTCGCTCGTGGACAAGACGGACCTGTTCACGGGAACCTTCATGCCCTCCACCGACCTCACCGGCGGCTACCGCGTGCTCTCGTACCTCGACCCCAGCGAGCCCAACCACGGGCCGCTCAAGACGCTCCTCTTCTACCTCCTGTCGCACCGTCGGCAGCACGTGATCCCCAAGTTCCGCGAGGTGTACGGCGAACTCTTCGGGATCATGGAGAACGAGCTGGCCAGGGTCGGCAAGGCCGACTTCGGCCACCACAACGACGCCGCCGCCTTCTCCTTCCTCTGCCAGGCGCTGCTGGGGCGCGACCCCGCCGAGTCGGCGCTCCAGGGCGACGGCCCCAAGCTGATCACCAAGTGGGTGCTGTTCCAGCTCAGCCCGCTGCTCAGCCTGGGCCTGCCCAAGCACGTCGAGGACTCGCTGCTTCACTCGTTCCGCCTCCCGCCGGCGCTGGTGAAGAAGGACTACGACCGGCTCGCCGACTTCTTCCGCGACGCGTCCAGGGGGGTGGTCGACGAGGGCGAGCGCCTCGGCATTGCGCGGGAGGAGGCGGTGCACAACATCCTCTTCGCCATGTGCTTCAACTCCTTCGGCGGCATGAAGATCCTGTTCCCGTCGCTCGTCAAGTGGCTGGGCCGCGCCGGCGCGCGCACGCACGGGCGGCTGGCCACCGAGGTGCGCGACGCCGTGCGCGCGCACGGCGGCGAGGTGACCATGAAGGCGCTGGCGGAGATGCCGCTGGTGAAGTCGGCCGTGTACGAGGCGCTGCGGATCGAGCCCCCCGTGGCGATGCAGTACGGGCGCGCCAAGCGGGACATGGTGGTGGAGAGCCACGACTACGGCTTCGAGGTGCGAGAGGGGGAGATGCTCTTCGGCTACCAGCCCATGGCCACCAAGGACCCGCGCGTCTTCGCGCGCGCCGAGGAGTACGTGCCCGACAGGTTCCTCGGGGAGGATGGCGCGCAGCTGCTTCGCCACGTCGTCTGGTCCAACGGGCCCGAGACGGCGTCGCCCACGCTGCAGGACAAACAGTGCACCGGCAAGGACTTCGTCGTGCTCATCGCGCGCCTCCTCGTCGCCGAGCTCTTCCTCCGCTACGACTCCTTCGACGTCCAGGTCGGCGCCTCCGCGTTGGGGTCGTCGGTGACCATCACCTCGCTCAAGAAAGCCACCTTCTGAGCTTTGAATCTCTGATCGACCGCCCGTCAAAGTCGCTGGAGGCGGGCACCTTCACTTCTTTTTTCTTTACCGTAGGATATACTGCGTTGTCCTTGTCTGTCTACCCCACCCCCAAATCCCTCTCAAAGTCTCAATACTTTTTTCTAGTGCTGTTCTACTGTGTGATCGTCAGGTATAACAAAATGTCTATTCTTAGTAAAAATGAGAGAGCATTTTTCCCAGGGACCTTCGGTGTCTGAAGATTTGATGTCAGAAAAATTACTATCGATCTGAGGGAGACATGAACCTACTGTTCATGTTGCTTATCCATGACGGATCCATCTAATGTAAAATGGACTAAGATATGAAGTAGGTGGACAGTGATGGCAAAGTACAATGTTCATCGGCTGCTATTAATCAGGCAGATAAAGGACATACCTAACCTAGTGCCGGAGTCTCTGAGTGGGGCTGGGAAGAGATAAACCGAGATTGTACAGTTGGACTTTCTTGCATATCAGTATAGTTGGACTTTCTTGCATATCAGTTCCTCCTTCCCTCCATGGTACTGAACTGTATACTGTTTGTCCATGGTAATATATTGTCCATGGTACTGAACTGTATACTGTTTGGCCCCATTCGCTGGTCTGAAATTTGGCTGAAGCTGACTGAAAATATTGTTCCGACTGAATTGTTGTGAGAGAAAAACACTGTTCCAACTGAAAAAAAGAAGCCGAATAAGTCGAATATAGGGTAAGCCGAATGGCCAGTCAGAACATTATTGACAGCTTGTGGTCCATTATTAGCTCACAATAGTCCACCATGTGCCAGGTTTTAACCTGTCCTTTCATATAGTACATGCCATTAAGGAGCTACCGAGATATTCATTTTTTCTCCTTTGCATCAAACATACTGTTCAATTGGCTAAATGGAACTAGCATCCTGGTTCAAGGATGTTTATGTTCTTTCCCTTTTCAAGAGACACTCGTCCATTTGTAGAGAGATTGGGAAAACACTGTGATTTACAAGATTGCTGCAGGTTCTCATTATGAGGAGGAATCCTGGACATATACCGCGAATCTGCTAGACAATCTCTTATGTTTATCTTTATTTTTACTTTAATATTTATTACAGGTATGAGAAATATCATGGATACTATGGAGGGAAGGAGGAAGCAAGAAAGTCCAACTATACTGATATGGTAATATAACCTTTTGAAGAGAGAATTTTATGATATGGTAATACAAGCCTTTCCCCCGCAAAATCAAGCGGGCTTGCAAATTATTGGGAGTAGATTAACACCAAACCTAACAACACTTCATTCTCTTGGGGTCCATGGAGTGGATTAGTTGTTGCATTATCAAGTCATAGTCTGATGGTAGCTAACCATTATTGCTTCAAGCCTTCTGTGACTGTTTATTGTATTGACAATGGTCACAAAAGCTGGTTTCTGAAAGCAGTCTGGTTGGGATCGTAAACCTTGCTCATCGCTTGCTTGTAGCACCATTTTCCAGTTGATTTCTCCTGATCATGCACTAACAATTTACAGAAGAAACGGGATGAACAGCTGAAAAGTGATCGAAGTGACATTGGCCGATGGACCTTGATTTCAGCAATTTAAAGAATCCTTCCTTTCTTCCTTGGAATACACAAATTTTAAATGTTACTACATGGATTAAGCGCCGAAAAATGTTCGATTTCCGTGACATTGGCCCTGGGTCACTTGTTTTATGAGCCGTACTATTTTCAGCGAACGAACGGTATTTTTTTCAGGCAATAAAACTATCAGTACTTTCAGCCATGACTTTTCAGCAAAACTACCAGGGCACTGGGGGAAAAGGTTCCTGCACCCTAGGGCGGTCATGCGATCACGAGCTTTCCTCGATAGGGCAGGTCAGCTTTGCCGACCGGCCACCCCTTGAAATAGGAGCAACCGACCGGCCAACCCTTGAAATAGGAGCAAGCAGCCATGTAACAGGGCACGGAGAACTCCAGCTTCTAGTCACATATGTCATATGTACAGGGCTTAAAAGCGTAATGATTCCATACCATACCTTCGGGGAGCCAACTAAAATGAACAGGCAACCAGGCATCACCAACGGAATTGCCTCGCCTAACAGTTCCACCTTTCAGTGGCAACTTTTCATAAAGGAATACGCACTGGCAAAGATTCTTCCACCACATCAAAATCAACCAAACCAATAGGGCAAAACGGCAGATGAGAAGCTTGGAACTCCAAGGTTAGAATAGAAATGGCACATGATACGCAACACGCGTAACCACCCTAGCAGACCTGAATTGACAAAGATCTGACTCTTAGCAGCCACAGTATCAGTTACAAAAAAATATTCCAATTCATGCATTCAAGGATTAAGTATCATGGTGCCTCGAGCAGTTCCACCCTTAAGTGTTAATTCATTACCAACTGATCACAAACGTCTGCAACTCACCTTCCTGGATACTTCTACACAAACGCCTGCAACTCACATTCCTGGATACTTCTGGTACACGGTCTAATCAATAATGTAAGAGTTCAACATCCTCGATTCAACTCAGCATTTCCATGATGGCAACTTCACCTATAAAACGCCATGTTCGTTTGGGCTTGTTTGGCTGATAAGCCATGGCTGAAAGTACTGTTGGCTGATTTGGTGTGAGAGAAAAATATTGTTCGTCGGCTGAAAAAGTACGGCTTATAAGCCAAACAAACCCAAACGAACAGGGCGAAAATTGAGAAAAACAACTACTTTATGAACCAATAGAACAGGTCGCACGAAAGTCACGATTAAAGAAACAAAAATGTGGGATGTAACACCAAACTCTACTGACAGATAAAAGAACTCCAGCTGAAATCAGGGTCAACAGTCAGACAAACATTAGGTCAATAAAAATAACATGTGGCAGGCAATACCAAACTCTACTGACAGTAAACAAGTTATAGCTGAAATCATGGTCAATTGTTGTCAAGACTTGTATTGGAATTTTTCAAAACTAGGACATCTATAATGGAATGATGAATCTAATTAACCACTCCAGTGTTTGAAATTGTTGTCAAGACTTGTATTGGGACGCTGATCCAACTGTTGCTTTCTTTAAGATTGAATCATGGGCCACAAGGAATGATGTGCTATTGGACCACTCCAGTTGACTACTTGCCATATTCATTACGGTAACATGTCACCATAGTATCATAACAGACATTGCCTTGAAACCCATTAACAAATTGAAAATTGATTGATGGCTACTGCTAATGTGAATGAAGTTGGTTAGGATTATCAAATTTACGCAGTCCAATAGTCATTGGTAGCTGTTAATCTTCCACAAATATAATTGTTCAGAACCAGGATAATTTAGAAATTTGTGAAAACAATTAACCATTTTGTGCTAACGCTGTTCTATTAACTGAAACTGCAAGCTCCCAGGAAAGGATAGCGGCCAAATTCAGACAGAGGACTTGTAAACAAAACAAGATAACTTCCATAATAGGAGTATTATCTTTAAAAAGAAGGCTCATTTTGGTATCTAGTTATCGATAACAATGTTGCAAAAGAGTGTTTCATACATGCAGAATGTTTTGGTAAATCCCATGATGTAGAATATGTGAGCTCATTTTCTTTTGCAAAAGCTATTTCTAACCAAAATCATTGAATGCAAGTGAATCGTTGAATTTGTAGCCAATGACAACACAGATACACATTACAAAATATAGAGCTCCCTTTCCAATAACAAAATTGACTTACCACTTACCAGATCATAATTCAACACTAAAAGATGGACATATCAGGTGGTGGTCCATAAACTGATTTCCATGACAAGGGAACGATCCACCCATTTGACCCATTTCCTGTATGCACACAGAAAGATTCACTAAGAAGGCTACCCAAACATTTCTTATGATGACAGGATGCCTAGAAACAGAATTTCCAAAATAATCGAAACTAAGGGGGCCAATTTAAAGGCGTAAAGCACTTAAGCATGGTACTTTAATAGTCTGATAATAGATGAATAGATCGAAATACACTTTTCAGAATAAGTGTTAAGGCGATAAGAAATGTACCATGGAATTTCTCAGGGTCATGACCTAGAAATTTGCATACTGCCTCAGCTAACTGGAAAGATTCTGGCATGTTGTCGCCTTCTGAGCAGTAGCACAGTACACAAGAAACTTTCAAGCCTTTAGCCTATCACAAATAAAGAGATATTATAACATTGACTCAACTTTCGAAGCGATAAAATCATTTTAAGCTGAAACAAAATCAGACACCTTGCAGGCAGAGAATAGTGCTGCAAATGGCAAGCTCACATAGTAATCATTTATTGTCATCTCATCAGTATCATCATCCATATCTTCTGAAAGACCACCACCCTCAACTAGGCTAGCAAGATAACTCCAACGTTTCTGAGATGGATTGTAATCCTCAAGCTTCTTCCACCCCAATTTCTCATATTCTGGATCAGAACCATCTTCGTTGCAACTTGAAAGGTAATACACCTGCATGTCACTACAATATAAAACATCGTTAACTAATGATATCAACATTGACAGAGGATCAATCCTATAATAGAACTGCTGCAGTTAGACATTTTAGTTACCTGGATGCATCAATTACCCTCCTCTTTCCAGAATCTAAACTTGAAATAATGACAATATGGTTCTTCCCAATGCTGCTTATGAAATCAGCAACATTTTTTGCAAATGAAACCATCATCCCCTATATTAAAAAAAAGGGCAGATCCAGTGCCAGAGGCTCCGACATGAGTGGGGTCTGGGGAAGGGAAAAACCGAGGCAAGCCTTTCCCCCGCAAAATCTACGGAGAGGCTGCTTCGAACCCACGACCTGGTGACTTAGTGAGACAACTCTCACCACTGCACCAGGCCTGCCCTTCTTCATCATCCCCTATATTAGCAACGGAAAATTGATATAGTCATGAAATAGTCATGAATGGTATGAACTGAGACCACAAGACTAAACTAAAGGTACTAAAAATTAACAATGTAACTTTGATTGGAAGTGCAATAACTATGTTGCTTTCTTTGACAAAATCATGTTGAATCAAAGAATATGGATCTCCAAAAGAAATGTCTTCATGTAATTTAAGAAAGCAAGACGGAATATAGTTATCAGATACAGTGGCGCACTGGCGCTAATGTTGCATCTATTTTCCTTGTCCCAACCAAAAGGTATTTACACAAGAATGAAGTAAACAGGGTCCAATTACCACCGCGCAACTAAAGGCTGAGATCAACGTACTGTAATAACTGGAGACCTTTGCTGAATGAAAGCCAGCCTATGAGATGTAGATTCATAAGCTGCCAAGAGGAAGAGAGAAAGGCAGTCAGTTTAGATTGTGTATCAACATTACATATACTGACTCGATGTATACGTAGATTAAACGAAAAATACAAAGGGCCATTGTACTCCAACTGGAACTCAGTAGGTTACTCGGTCAGACAACTTGTGCGCGCAGCAGAATTGCTTGCAGCGCCAGCAGAGCGCTAACACATTTCATCGAACAGTTGGTGCTCAGGGAATAAAGAGACAAACAGAACGAACGCAAGCAGCAAAGCTGAAACAGTACATCAAACAGGAGGTAGCCAGGTAGGAATAGCACAGAGTGACAAAAGGATCGAGAACCCAACCTTCGAGAGCGAGTGCGAGGTCGCCGACGGCGTCAGGGCCGAAGGCGTCGTTGCCGGCGCAGGGCAGCACGGAGGGCTCGTAGAGGTAAGCCACCCGCCTCGCCCTCGCCGAGGATATCAGAAGGTCGACGGCGAGCTGCCCCACGTTGCCAATCGACAGCGCTGGCTGCGGCCGGGTGATCGGTAGACCAAACGTAATCGTAGGGCATCAGTTAAAACTAACTCGATTCCAGCAATAATCAGTGAGAGCTCGCAGCGTTAGGGTTTCAAACCATGATGAGCGTGGGGCAGGAAGGCGAGAACGATTCACTCTCGACTAAGGCGAGCTCCATTCCGGCGGGCGGGCGGGCGGCGGTGCAGGGATCTCAGGCTCGGCGGCTGTCGGATGAAAGCTCTCTCTGCCTTGATCGAGAAGTTGAACAAGACGGACACTGAGCAATAGTATAGAGTAGGTTGGACCGTGGATTCAAGCTGCAAGCAAATTTGGGCCCGACTGAGCCCGGAAACCATCGCTGCCGACCAGTCGGACCGAAGCCGCGCGCCGACCCCCCTCCACGCTCGCGATGGCGGCCCACAGCAGGACGCGACGGCCCAGCGACAGCCCAGGTAGAGGGCGCCCGCGATGACGCTCAGCGGTCCACGCTCTCGCGCGGTCAGCAGCGATGGTTTCGCTTCGTTGGTTCGTTAGTTGCGTTTTCTTTCTTTTTCTTTTTTCTTTTTCATTCCTTTCTACTATTTATTTTTTCTTTTTCTTTATATTCATCTTTTATTATTATTTTATTATTTTTTCTATTTATTTTTTCTTTCCTTTATTTTTTATTTTCCTTTTTTGGTCTTATATTATTCTTTTTGTTTCTTTTTTCTATTTTCATTTTTATTTTATGTTTTTCTTTTCTTTTTTCTTTCCTTTCATTCATTTATTTTCCTTATCTTTTTTCTGTACTTTTGTCATTCTTTTTACTTTCTTTATTCCTTTACTATATTTATTTTACTTTATTAATTTTTATTTCCATTTCCATTTTCTTTTTTTGTTTCCTTTCCTTGCTTCTATTTAGTTTTTTTATTTTTCTTTCCTTTTGTTTTCTTATACTTTTATTTTTTTAACATTTATATATTTTTAATTTATTTTTTAAAATTTTGTTTTTTATTTACAGATACACGTGATGTTCATGTAGTATATATGTAATGTTCTATGATGTACTTTTAGATATCCGTGAGTAGAAACGTGATGTTCTATTGTGATGTTTAGTACGTATACATTGATGTTCTAGGGTATATTTTGTGATATTCAGTAGCATTTTTATCTTTTTATTTGACATAAATTAATTACTTCACTAATTTTATTATTTTACTTTATATTTCTTGATATTTTGTGATGTTCACGTAGTATACGGATTGTAACACCTTCGGTGTTACACTGTAAATTTTTGCTAAAGCACTGCATGGGCATCATGTTTATGTGATAGTGTATGTAAAATAGTGTATGTAAAATTACTTCACTGTAAATAGTTATGTGATAGTGTATGTAAATCAATTCCTGTAACTCAAAACGATCGACAAAAACATGAAACGAAAGTTACATTTCAATGTCGCGTTACATCACTTAGGGTTTTAAAGTAATTTTTATTGAGCAAGAATACTATAGAACGCATATGCGAGACTTTAATAAAGTTTGTAGTACAAACCGTGTAGGTGATGATTAAATACTTGAGGTCGCAAAAGGAATGCACTAGCTAGCATACCGGATAGCTTAGAAATCGAATTCAACGCGAATCCGATCGAGACTTAATCGATTTTCCAAAGTCAGAAAACACTTTGACGAAGCTAAGTTTGACAATTTTTGTAGGAGAATCGGGTCAAGTAGTGGTATGGTCTTAGGGCTTATTTTAGTAGCTTAACATGCCATCTCGAGTATAAAATAGGTGGTTTAGCAATTGAAGCATCGAGTTGGATTTTTAGGGCGCTTTAAAAATCGTGCATGGCACGTTACCCGTAGATTTCAGCGTCTGCATCACCGCACGTGACCCACGCACGCGACACAAGCACGCCTTTCACGCGCATGCCGCGCTCGACAGGACGCTAGGGGCCGGCGAGCCTAGCCGCTCTGCCATTGCCGTCGTCGTCCGCTCGGGTGCAGTGGCATCCTAGGGCCGTAGCCGCCATCGCCAGCAAGCGCACATTCTCTACGTCGCGTCGTCACACAGCGTGCGCCTACATCGCTCGTGTCGCGTTCGCCCGAGCCGCTGCACCGACACATGGCCGTGTCATCGTCGGCTTGCCAATTAAGGCGTTGCGGCCGCACGAGCCATGCCGACTCGTTTGCGCATGTGTAACCTTCCCTACGTGCCCTTGTTTGTTTCGTTTGAGTGGCGAGCATCGCTCTGTGCCTCCGGTCACCTCTACCTTTAATGGCACCGCGCCGGCGTCACCGAGCCACGCCAAGGCCAGCTCGTAGCGCCGGTCTAATCCGAGTAATTGCGTGCGCCAGAGGATTGAGTAGGAACCTAGCTATGCGTTGAACCCTCCCACTGCTGTTGCCAGCCAGTGTCGAGCCCCAGTTTGAAGCTTCCTTCGCCATCGGCCAATGTTAAGACCCCACGACAGCACCCGTCCAATTCATCTCGCACCGTCCACCTCTGTTTAATTCATTGGCACTGTGTCTTCACCTTGTTCCCCTCTATCCCATGCGCACCCCAAATTGCCCTGCTACTGCCTACCTAGCACCGCTGACGCAGTCACGCCACTGCGACCGTCACTGTGTTTGCCGTGCACGCGTGTTAAGACTCACTCGGCCCGTCTTCGGTCAAACCATCACATCTGGTAGGTTCTAGGTGAGTTGATGATGTCCAGCCCTAGTCCTATCATTTTGGTTGCGCCTTGTCTCACGGGAACACGACCGCCGCCGCTACAGGAGGTCCGCCACCGTGGAGGGAGATCGGGACAGCATCTCCGTTCACCGCTTCATCGCCCACCGCTTCAAGTTGGCGTCTAGGTGAGCATCGGCTCGCTACTAGGACGGGGAGGGGCTAGTCTGGCTAGCGTGATCGCCCGATGCTAGCGCCGCTGCGCTGGTGCACGCGCGGGTGCCCAGGGGACCCGATCGTGGTAAAGAAGGAAAGGAGGAGGGTATATTTATAAGATAGCTGACTAAAGGAATAGTGCTATGGGCCTCGGTAGTAAAGCGAGGACGTTGTAGCAAATGTACCAGCACGCGCGGGCCTCCCTGTCGTGGGTCGTCGTCGCGCAGATGGGCCGCGTCCGCGTTGGGCTGCGCTGGTGGGTCGCAGTGCGCGCATGCACGATGTGCCGGAGTGGGCCGAGCCGCTCACATAGTGGGCTGCGCGGGTGGATTCGGTTTTCCTTTTTCCAGTTAATTAATAAATGTTTATTTAATTTAGTTTTGAGCTAATCTTTGTAAAATTATAGTAAATTCTGTAGGTGTCCAAAAATAGTGAAATAAAATTTGTCAGGTTTACAAAATACTATCTATCTATTGGTGTAGTTAGTTTACAGTTAGCTATAATAATGATAGATTCATACATTCGCTTTAGAAAGCCTAGTACTATTTAGCTTAATATTTGTAGGAATTTTTGTGGTAAATTGGTGATAGCTTTGGCCATAAAATTTTTATAGTAGACTCATTAGATTATCATGTGCTCACTGTAATTTTTGTAGCCCTAGAGTATGTTGATAAATATAATAGCTAGTACTTCTTGTTTTATCATATATAGAGTAAATCGATATTAAGAATAGGGATTCCTTTAGTTGCTAAGTTAATACATGAAATGTTTCATACCTATTTAGTGGGAATGATAGGTAACGTAGCATCTTAGTTGGTAGAGCTAGTTTAGTAGCTTGACAGATGTATTTTATTTCAAGAGTTGTTGTTGCTGTATTACTAAGTGTTGCATCATCGTTCCATGCATGTAGATAACGAATTGGTATAGTTCATTCTTGAGGGTGAACAAGAGTTCAAGGAGATTATTGAGGAGTACGAGGAAGAGATTCTCGCATAGGAGGAAGCCCTAGAGCCGTTCGTTGTTGACTTTGTTGGCACCTCGCCTGCCCAAGGCAAGCCCCGGTGCATAATCCCTATTTTTGAATGATCATGGAATATATATATATATGATATACATTTACGTTACAGGCATTTTATGAAAACTACATACATAGATATACTTACCTATGAGTCCTACTAGTATAGATCGAGTAGCTGCTATGCTCAGGATTTCAGTAGCGTGGGTAACCTGCCGTTACTCACAATAGGTGATAATTATGATCACTCATGATAAAATAGTGGAAAGGAAAAATAGAGATCGGACGGGGATGTGGTTTGAGTATTGGTGTGTGTAACAGGTTGTGTCCTGCGGCCAACAGGGCATAGCTTGGTTATACTTTTTCCCTGTCTGTGTCGGTTAAGGACCGGCCGTTGCATTGGGTTCTAGGCAAGTCACAGACTTATTATCCCGGGCACATACTTGGGTATGGGCATAGGGAAGGCTTGTTGCTCTCTTATCGTGGGTTCCAGCTCTTTCCGGATCGACTAATTGGACGCGGGGATAGTGGAGGTCTAAGCACCGCACTGAGTCTGGGACTCAGGAGCGGAGGCTTAGAGTCCATGTTTGGACGGGGACCTAGACCCCGTGTCAGGAGAGTGATGGGTTGGTCCTGTTTGTGCCTGGGGTACAAGCAGGGCGTATGTTTTTAGGGTACCCAGCTGGGCACATTGATTCGTAAATCACCGGGCAATCCGGTACGGCTTGTCTACAGTCTAGCACCGTAGTAAGAACTTAAAGTTGAAAGGTGATGAAATGGAACTGTTTGCTCAACTCCTACTTGAAAGTAGAATAGATGCTTACATAGAATGGTTAGATAATGAATTAATCATGACTGCTAATAATAACACAAATAAGGATTCACTGTTAGCATTGCTTTCTGCAAAAAGAAACCCAACAAACCATGAAGCTTATTATATCCCTTGGAGTCGGGAAAGTATTCCCACTACTCGGATAAGTCTTGCGTGTACATTGTGTACTCAGGGTTTATTTACCCCTATTGCAGGAATGCTTGAGGAGTAGCTGTTGTGTGAAGGATTCTTCTGGTGGGCACAGACGGATCCTTGTTTATTATCGATAGATGTGTATTTTCATTCCGCTGTTTAATATTCCACACTCTGAATTTGGTAATGTAATAATATATTTCTAAGAACTCTCGATGTATGAAATGGACTAAGTATTGTAACTCGTTCTCATTATTGGATCCTTAGGGGAAAATGTGGATTATTCGGGCTCTCCCTTGGGGTGTGATCGACGGAACCCACCCGATGTAGCTC